GAAGAAAGGGAGGAAGGAAGGGAGGAAGGAAGGAAGGAAGGAAGGAAGGAAGGAAGGAAGGAAGGAAGGAAGGAAGGGAAGGAAGGAAGGAAGGAAGGAAGGAAGGAAGGAAGGAAGAGGGAGAGGAAAGGGGAAGAGAGGGAGAGGGGGGAGAGAGAGAGAAAGAGAGAGAGAAAGAGAGAGAGAGAAGAGAGAGAGAAGAGAGAGAGAGAGAGAGAGAGAGAGAGAGAGAAGAACCACAGACATGAGAGATGAAAAAGCACAAAATAGGACATGTGAAACCAAATCATCAGAAGAAATGACAAGAACATTTTTTAAAATGGATGATGGAAGAATGTCTAAATTAACATATAAGCACAAGACAACAAAAAGGGTTGGATGACGCCCCAGGGAGAAATCACATGATCTGAGCCATGTGAGTACAGTACATTATGGGCGGGACTATAGACCTCATGCTATAGGGTTGTGTGTGTCTGTGTAGGTGTGTGTGAGAGAGACAGAGACAGAGAGAACTAGAGAGATGGAGAGGACAAGGGGAAGGGATAGAGGGAGAAAACAACTATGGAATGATTATAAGTAAAAAGTTGAGATTTTTATGGGATAGTAAATTAATCAGCTTGAAGATGTCCAGTTTAGTGAGAGAGCAATGGCTCTCTCTTCTGCCTTGCTCAGGACAATTTTTTGATTCTAACGTTTCTCCTAAATTGCTGAACCCGTAGACTTATCCCATTCTCATAGTAGAAGAGTCCAAGCCCTCTCTTGATCACCTGTCCCAGGGTCTCCCAGCTCCCATTAACAGGAGCATTTCTTCATCTTTCCATTTAATCCCTTTCAGTGAAGTTTAAGTCACCCAACAAACATTTATTTATTAAGTACCTACTGTGTGCCTGATGTTGTGCTAAGTCCTGAGTATACAAAGAAAGGCAAAAAAACAAAAACAAAAAAATATTTGCTTAAGGGGTCAGCTAGGTGGCACAGTGGATAGAGCACCAGCCCTGGAGTCAGGAGGACCTGAGTTCAAATCCAGTCTCAGAAAATTGATACTTACTAGCTGTGTGACCCTGGGCAAGTCACTTAACCCCATTGCCTAGCCAAAACCCCCCCAAAAAACAAAGAAATGCAAAAACATGGTCTGTGCCCTCAAGGAGCTAATATTTTAATGGAGAGGAAACAAGCAAATGATTGTGTATATAGGAAATAACCATATATAAGATATTATAATAATAGCTTTAGTTTATATAGCGCTTTACAAATATTATCTTTTTTGATCCTCACAACAACCCTAGGAGGTCAGTGCTATTGTTTCCCCCATTTTACAGATGAGGAAACTGAGGCAGACAAAAATTAAGTGCCTTGCCCAGGGTTACACAGCTTACAAGTGTCTGGGACTGAATTTGAATTTAGGTCTTTCTGACTCCAGGTTCAGTGCTGTATCCATGGTGCCACCTAGCTGGAAAATAATTTTAGAAGGAAAGGACAGGGCTCAGGAAGTCCTCCTGCAGATGGTAAGATTTGAGCTGAATCTTGAAGGAAGCTAAGTTAACTAGGAGGTAGAAGTGAGGAAAGAAAACATTCCAGACACGGAATGCAAATAGAGAGTGGTGTGAGAGGCCAGTTTGGCTGGGTCATAAAGTACAATGAAGAAGTATAAAATGTAAGAAGACTGGAAGAGTAGGAAGGAGCCAGCTTGTAAAGACTTTTAAATGCCTAGCAGAGGATTTTATATTTGATTCTGGAGGAAATAGGGAGCTACTGTAGTTTACTGAGTATTCTGATGACAGAGTGAGACCTTATCTTTAGGAAAATCACTTTGGCAGCTAAGTGGATTGGAAGATGTATTCGAGTAAAGAAAGACTTGATACTAGAAGATCAATTAGAGAGAGAGAGGGTAAGTGAGAGAGGGAGAGACTGACTCTTTAGCTTTCCCAAGGCCTTGAGTAAGTTTATTGGAATTAAAATATTATCAAGCCTCCTGGAAATGATACAGAATACTGGGAAAACCAAGGAAACCAACATACAACAAGCCCCAGAAACTGTCCTTTATTCTCCATGGTGGTAACTACCTTTGTGATGTTGCTAACAAGCAAGGCCAACAGGAGCTAGTCCACACAAAGGAATTTTGTACTAATGGGGTCCCAGAAACAGTTACAAGGCACATAAAAATGTAGGGGGAGGAGACCACATTCTCTCCTTTCTACCAATGCAATTGGCCGGCTCACTTCTTTGTGTCAGCTAACTCTTGCCAGTCAGTGTCCGTTTTAATTGGTTGTTATAGAAGTTCTGGTTGGCGTGATCCAACATGGACTAATCAGTCAACCATGACAGGGAGCAGAGGAATACTAGCTGCCGTTCTACCTACCCTCTCTCCCCACTCCCACCCCCCACCACTGACTGATGTAACACAAAGGCTCGAAGTCAGGAGATATGTCTGCTAACACTCCAGAAACACCAAGACATCTTCAGATTGCTTCTTTAGTTCTCATAAGGAACTGGAGGCTCACTCATCACTACCCTCAGCCCCTCTGATTGGAGGGCAGAGTCATGAACTCCAAAACCTCCATTCAAGAAGAGGGCCCAGGGGCAGCTAGGTGGCACAGTGGATAGAGCATCAGCCTTGGAGTCAGGAGGACCTGAATTCAAATCTGACCTCAGACACTTGACACTTACTAGCTGTGTGACCTTAGGCAAGTCACTTAACTCCAACTGCCTCACCAAAAAAAAAAGAGGATCCAGAATAGTTAGTCCTCATTTTCCACATAGTTGCACTAGTTTGGATTTTTCTGACTTCTCCACCATGCCCCCCTTCCCATCTATCCCCTTTTCATCTCTCTTTTGTATATTGTCTTCCCCACTCGATTCCAAGCCCCTTGAAGGCAGGAACTATTTTTCCTTTTCATATTTGTATCCACAGTGCCTGGCAAATAGTATGCACCTAATGTTTACTGACTGACTGGGGGTGGGGGTGGGAGAGGTAGGCTTCTGGTTGTAGTCTAGACATCTCCAAAGGGACATGGGAAAATGCTTCAGTGTATTTAGTCTTGCGTGGTGCTGTCTCTAAGGCAAATGTTTAGGAAAAAGTCTTTGAATGGCAATCTGGAGGCATTCTTTAAGGCGAATCTTGTTCTCCAGTACATCTCAAAAAATGCCTCTTGTATTATTATGAGGACTCAAATTTTGTCCTAAAGGCTCAGTGGCTGAGATGATAGAGGGCCTCACATTTCTACTGACCCTACTGGACCTCCACTGAATGGAGGAAATTATCTCGAAGGTGATTACTACTGTTATTCTCTTCACAATCCCATTTGGACTTTTCTTGGCAAAGATACCAGAGTGGTTTTCCATTTCCTTCTCCAGCTCATTTTACAGATGAGGTAACTGAGGCAAACAAGATTAAATGACTTGCCCAGGGTCACATAGCTAAAAAGTATCTGAGGCTAGATTTGAACTCAGGTCTTCCTGACCCCAGGCCTAGTTCTCTATCCACCAAACCACCTACCTGCAAAGACATCATTGCCTATTTATGCTTAAAGACAGAATATAGTACCAACAGGGCTGAAATACACAAATGCTTCCTTCCCAGCCCCACAGCTTGGCTGTGTTACTTTGCTAACAGTGGAAGAGAATGGATGCAGCAGGGTCCCAAGATTCTCTATTTGGAATTATCCCAAGTCTTAAGTTTCCAGAAGCACTTGCTGAAGAAAAGGAATTATTTGGAGTGGGAGAAGGAACTGCTTCAGCCCCTCTGGACCAAGCTATCAGGGTAGAGTATCAGGATAACAATAAATCCAGAATGAGATAAGCTGTGATCTAGCCCAACTCTACTGCTACCTGATGCTTAGTGGCATGTGATTTTGAGCAAGTCATTCAACCTTTTAGAGTGCTGGACTTACAGAATGGAAGTCCTGAGTTTGAATCCCAATTCTGACACTTCACAGTCCTGCGTAGACCATGAGCAATCCACTTAACTCTATGAAGATTCATTCGCCTCACTTGTAAAACAGGGATAATACCTGTAGGACCTATTTCAAATGGGATATGTGTGCATAGTGCTTTGCAAACCTTAAAATGATATATGAGTCAGCTATCATTTTGATATCAATTTTCCGGTTTCCCTGAAATTATACCATATATGCCAGGAGCTCTGAATCTTTTTGATGTCATGAGACCCCTTTGGCAGTCTGATGATGCTTTTTACATAATATATGTTTTAAAATATATAGGGTTACAAAAGGAAACTACTTACATTGAAATAAAGATGTAATTATTTTCCTATCCAAGTTTACAAACCCCCTGAAATGGGGATGATGGACCCCAGATGAAGAACTCCTGATATATTCATATTCCCCCACAAATAAGGCTGGTCTTGGTATACCTCTCCCCCAGGGGGGGGGAAAAAAAACACTTTTGTAAAGCAGGGCTGCTCACTGCCACCTCTGAAATAAACCAGTCTCCTTAGCAATTTGGTCTAACTAAAAATGTGAATCTCTTTTTGGAGCCTCTCTCCCCAGGAGAAGTGAGTTGCTTAGTACCGATGTGAGACATCCATATTTACAATGCCTACAGCAGCAGAAGTGGCAACAGCAAAACAATTGAATCTGTAATAAAGTCTGACCTAGAAACAATCAACCGTCTAATACCATCTCTGGGTGCCAGATGGAGATCTTTTTTCTGTCTTAGTTTCATGGGCACAAAAGAAATAGCAACTGATGCTAAGTGGCATTCTACCTCCTTTCCAATCCCCAACTCCAGGCTCAGAACCCAGAGACAACACGGGAAGCTTGCTTGGACCCTAGGAAAAAAATTAAAACTACAAGGTTTTATTACAAGATACATAACATCTCATAATGGAGTTTAAAAAAAGAAGGTTTGAGCTCTGAGGTTGTCCTGTCCAAGGGCCAGAGAATCTGACAAGGTGGAGACCAGTTAGAGAAAAGAGATTGCTTCTCAGATATGCCTGCTTTCACATTGCTTTAGGCATAGCCTCCCTGCTGGTCACTGACCTTGATGCCAAGATGGTAACAGATCATTCCAGGCGAAGGCTTGGCTGCCAGCCCTCTCTGGCCCTAGGAAGCTGGAGCTGTCATTCCTTCTCATGGCTTTGGCCAATGCTTTCTCTCTGCATCAGCCTGGATTGTCTGGGAGCAATTTAGATATTGCATATCAAAATAAGTCTCATACCCGGCGACCTGGGAGGCTTCAGTAGTAGGGGACATTGGAAAGAAAGAGACAGGATTGACCTTACCCATGGGTGAAATCAACACAGGCCTTATCAGGAGCTACAATGACAGAACTGTTCCATATAGAAAATGTCATCAGCCTCCACTCTCAGAAGCTCCATAGCATTAAGGACGCCTACATATTCTTCCAAGAATTTCCATAATACTTCTTATTTCAATCTACCCCTTAGACATCAATTGTACACATTAAATCTCAGTTCTGCAAGGATGCTCTGAAAAGGGTAAGCAAATAAGGCCATTCTAGAAATGTTGCACGTGGCTGCAAACCTCCATGTCGACTGTGATGTGCTGCCTCAAACGATCCAGGTCTGAAACCTGAGGCTTCCCGCCTCTTTCACAATACCCTTAAGACCACCAGATCTGAGAAGCGCTATAGGTTTCAGTAATAACTCTACCAAATATGGGAACCTAACGCCTCATTGGTTAGTTAAGCTTCTTGTACCTATCATAGGTTACTGTTGATTGGTGCTGAAAAGATAAATTGGCACCCTGGGAAAGTGAAACTGCTGTCAGTGAGGCATAAATTTCATTATTTTTCAGTTTGGCTACTCACTTTATTTGACTTCCAGTTTAGCAGACCCACTGGTGGGTGAGATTCTCTCTAGCCTCTCTAGGGACCAAGCTGAGAAGATCCCCAAAATGCAGAATTAGGAGTCTAGAGAACTGAGACATGTCCTGGCTCCGACATTATACCTAATTGTGTGGCTGTAAGAACATTGTTTAGCTTTTCTGAGCCATCTGGAAAATGAAGGATTAGATCTCTCAGGTTCTCTTCAATTATTGTAGTCTTCTGTAGCTCTTACCTGATCTTCTCTTATCTGGACTATTGCAATAGGCTCCTAGTTAGACTCTAGGTTTCCAGTGTCTCCCCATTTCTGTACACACACACACACACACACACACACACACACACACACACACACACACACACATAATCCATCCTCCAATATACCTGCCATAGTAACATTGCTAAAGCACAAATCTGACCGAGTTACTCACCATGTTGAAGAAACTTTAGGGACGACCTCTAGGATAAAAGGACCTCTTCAGCTTGGCACATTTAAAGCCCTTTAGCATCTGGCTCAAAAAAGACTTGACAATTTCTCCTGGGATGGAGGAGGAATATCTAGATACACAGTATGATTTGAATAACTTCCATACCAAGCCCATGTAGCACAGTGAGCTTTTACAAAGAGTATTTTTACTTCAAAAGGTACAATCGCAAATATATAAATTTACTCCCCCAACATGTGGGAGGTGTAATCCTTCTCCTCCTGTCTTAGTACCATCTCATTCTCAAGGGAGGGGGAGAGGATTAGATTCATAGTTTACCTTAGTTCTCCTAGAGCACAGTAGCAATCACAAGTCCAAAACTCCTCTCAAGTCCCAAGCACCCTGGTTTCTTAGGGTTTCCATATCAGGTGATCTGCCTGCATCGCTGTGACTTCAGTCCTGCCTCCAAGGTCACCATAGCTTGAACTCCTCACCTGTGAGGATCACCTCTGACACCTGAAGCTGAGAACAAACAACACAGAACAGAAAACAAACACTCTTGGACCCATTTTTTGGAACTAGGGGTAAAAGGAAGGCAGAGAAAAGGCAAGTCTCCATTCCATGTGTCCATGATGGGGGTGGTACACAATAATAGTCAAAAAGAGGCAAAGGGGGCATGCTCAGGTCTTGCCAGTTTTAAAGACCCAGGAACCACTCAGAAGAAGGCTTTCTCATCCATTTGGTAGGGGAAACACTGGGCTCCAAGCTAGGCAAACTGAGCATGCTCAAACAGTTTCATGGTGTGTTGTGGGGGTACCATCTCAAAGAATTCAGAGTAAGACCACCTCTAATCCAACTATGGGCATTTATTGAGGATTGGTGTCCCTCAGAAATGGGCTAGGTTCCAAGAGGAACCAGTAACTTAGTAAGACAACATAGGCAAATTTATAGCGTAATGATGCTGATTACACAATAGAAATTATGAATATTAAAAAGGCAGGAGGGGTTTCTTAAGAGATCAGGTAATAAGGAAGAGGTCCCTTCTATGGTTCGGTGGTTACACATCCTGGTTGGGCTACTTTCTGAATCAGGCTAGCTATTGTGGTCCTGTCTGGTCAAGATGGATAGTTAGGTATCGTGGTCCCATCTTGAGCTAAATGGATGATGTGATTGTGGTTGAGTGCAAGAATACACCTATTCAAATATGTGAATTGGATCTGGGGGCATGGCTAGCTAGGGGCAGTGACTATATTGAGTCTGGAGGCCTGAGCCAGATTATGTGGTTAAATCAGGACATGCCTGCTGTTTGGAGGGGCCTGGAAGGAAGTTAGAAGGTTGGGGCTAGGGACAACTTTATTAGGATTACAGCAAAAATGCTTCTCAGAGAAGCCCCATTACACCTATCTTTGATATCTTAAATTCACTCTGTTCCTCCACTACCACCACAGACCCAGGAATCTTATCGTTCTTCCCCTGCTGCCCGGAAATTTGCCTTCCCCTGCCCAGCTCCCACAAAAACCACAGACTAGGGCTCCTCAAGTATCATACGACTTATATCTTCCCCCTATCAAAACCTTCCCTTGGGGGCAGCTAGGTGGCTCAGTGGATAGAGCACCAGCCCTGACGTTAGGAGGACCTGAGTTCAAATCCGACCTCAGACCAAACACTTGACATTTACTAGCTATGTGACCCTGGGCAAGTCACTTAACCCCAATTGCCTTAAAAATTAAAAGAAATTAATAAAAAAAAAACCTTCCCTCCCACCATGTCAAGGTAAGATGGATCTCAGCAAAATTAATACTAAGGTATAAGTAGCACATGCACCTTAGCCTTTTCTCCATTCACACAGCAACCACTCTAGTTCAGGACCTCTTTATTTTACCCTACGGGCTCCCAGTTGGTCTCCTGGAATCCACTCTCCCCTCCCCTTCTCACCCTTCCAATCCATCCTCCCCACAGCGGCCAATCGACATTCCTAAAGCACAGGTCTGACCACATCACCGCTTCCCTACTTAAGAAAGATAAAATACTAATCCTTCTGGCTGGCTTTCCAGCCTAATTTTTCAGAATTATTGCATATTACTCTTCACATACTCTAAATCCCGGCCAAATTGGCCTGATTGCTATTCACAACACTCCACATTTCATCCCCACTGGCTGCGCTTTTGCACCAACTATCTTCCAAGGCTAGAATGTTCTCCCTCCCCACTTCTGCATCATGGAATCTCTTCCTTCAAGACTCATCCTAGCTGGCATTTCCTGGATAGTCTATCTGAATCCCCATTTAGCTTGCTAGTGCCCTCCTTCCCACCAAAAAAAATACTTTGCATCTACTTTGTACATCATATATAATTTTCTGTGTGTGCCAGTTGCTTTCCTTTAATACAGGGGTTCTTAACCCCTTGGGAGTCATAGGCCTCTTGGACAGTCTGGTTGAAACCTATCAATCCCTTCTCAGAATAGTAGTTTTAAATACACAAAATCATAGGACCACAAAGGAAACCAATTATATTGAAATAGTTATACATTTTTTTTTAATTCACAGAAGGTAAGATAACAACCTCTACCACAGAACATAAGCTCCCTGAGATCAGGGACTTTTGTTGGCTTTGGGTTTTCTCCATTGCACTAGCAAATACTTATTGGAAGAACAAAGGAGTCATTTGGCAGTTTTCCTAAACAATTTGATAATAGAGGATATAGGAGTTACCTAATCAACCTAATAACATAATGTAGACCATTGTTAGTGGACGATTCAAATTAAAATTCCTCAATCAACCTGTTGAAATTACAGGGTGTGGGCCACTGGATGAAGGCCACTGGCAGGCCTAGGGCACTTCTAGCAGCTAGCTGGCTGAAGGATCTAGAGGACCTTTAAAAAGCAAGAGTTAGCCCTAAGAAGGTTTGTTTAACTTCTTCCCTGTAGCTATTGGAGACTACATTTCTTTGCCTCTTCCCTCCCCTCACTCCACTTGCGGCTCACTCCCAACTGTTGTCTTCATCAAAAAGCTAAACACCCTATAATTCCACCAGGCTGTTGGAGGAACTTATTGAACATGATCAGTCAAATTAACAAACATTTATTAAACATTACCACAAACTAAGGTAGATGGTACAGTGGATAGAGTGCCTGGACTGGAGTCAGGAAGATATCTTCCTGAATTAAAATCTGGCCTCAGACAGTTACTAGCAGTATGACCCTGGCAAGTCACTCAACCTTGTTTGCCTCAGTTTCTTCATCTGTTAAATGAGCTGGAGAAGGAAATGGCAAACCGCTCCAGGTATCTTTGCTAAGAAAATCCCAAATGAGGTCACAAAGAGTCGAAGAGTGGGACTGGATTGAAAATGACTGAACAACCAAAAAATATGCTAAGTGCTGTGTTAAAGGCTGGGGATACAAAGAAAGGTGAAATATAGCCCAGCCAGGGCTCTCAAGAGCCCACAGTCTCACCTGGGAGGCAATAAACAAACAACCACGTACAAAGGAGATACAGATAAGATAAAATGGAGATAATCAGTGGCGGGAAGGACCTGGCATTAAGAGAGACCAGGAAGGCCTTCTTGCCAAAGGTGGGATTTTAACAGAGCCTTGAAGGAAAGCAGGGGAAGCCTGGAGGGGACAGGAGCCTGGAGTGAGAGCCTCCCGGGCATTGGCTCAAATATCTTTAGCTTATCAGATTGATTAGGAAAATCCTTTCTTATTCAGTTGTAAAGTTGACAGCTCTGTGATAAATGAATAAATGAAAGCTGATAACAATCTAATTAATATATTGCTTGGGGATATTTGCATAGAGGAGCAGCTGGAAGTCCAGGAATTCTGAATGGCAGGAAAATATGGAATGACAGAGTCTCTGAAGAATTAAAAATATGGAGCATTGGTTCTGGAGTCAGGGGACCCGAGTTTAGAAACTGGCTCTGTTACTTTAAAGGTTTGTGACCTTGGGCAAGAGTCATTCTAGGCCTCAGTTTCCACATCTGTAAAATGAGGAGTTGGACTATATGATCCTTAGATCACTCCTCCTCTCATGTATTATTTTAACAGAGGACAATATATGAATCAAGTGAGTGAATTTCTTTTATTTTGAAATAAATTTTTACTGATATATTTTGATTTTTTACATAGTTCAAATTTCTCCATGTAGCTGAGACTTATAGTCCTGTATCCCTCCTTTCCCTCCCAGTCTCTCATGCAATAAGAAAATGAATATCTAATTTCTTGTGTCATTTGCTCTCTGAACAAGTGACCTTTACACAGAAGTGATCCTGAGGATAACTGGAAAGAACTCTGTCTTGAAAGTGAGCTCCTGCCAAACTCCAAGGGGCTGAGAAAAGGATGCCAACTCTGTCCTATTGTCACAAATGACAGATGATAAGAAAATATGGAGGTGTGTACTATATTTCAGAAAGATTTCCATCAAAAATTATAAATGTTAGAGAAGATGTGGAAAAATTGGGATGCTAATGTATTGTTGGTGGAGTTGTGAACCCATCCAACCATTCTGGAGAGCAATTTGGAACTATACCTAAAGGGCAATCAAACTGTGCATACCCTTTGATCCAGCAACACCACTACTAGGTCTGTATCCCAAAGAGATCATAAAAATAGAGAAAGGACCCACAAGTACAAAAATATTTATAGCAGCTCTTTTTGTGGTGGCAAAGAATTGGAAACTGAGGGGATGCCCATCAGTTGGGGAATGGCTGAACAAGCTGTTGGTATATTAATATAATGGAATACTATTGTGCTATAAAAAATGATGAGCAGGCATATTTCAGAAAAACCTGGAAAGACTTACATGAACTGATGCTGAGTAAAGTGAGCAGAACTAGGAGAACATCATACATAGTAACAGTAACATTGTTTGATGAACAGCTATGATTGACTTACGTCTTCTCAGCAATACAATGATCCAAGACAATTCCAAAAGACTCATGATGGAAAGTGGTATCTACATCCAGAGAAAGAACCGATGGAGTCTGAATGCAGATCAAAGCATACTATTTTTCAGTTGGGGTGGGGTGCATCCTTTTGTTCTGTTTCTTCTTTCATAACATGACTAATGTAGAAATGTTTTACATGATTGCACATGTATAATCTATATCAGATTGTTTACCATCTCGGGGAAGGGGAAAGGGAAGGAGGGAAGGAAGAAAAATTTGGAACTCAAAAACTTTCCCAAAAAATGTTGAAAATTGTCTTTACACGTAATTAGAAAAAAAATACTATTAAACAAAAAAAAGAAAGAAAGAGAGAAAGAGACAGAGAGAGAGAGAGAGAGAGAGAGAGAGAGAGAGAGAGAGGAAGGAAGAAGGAAGGAAGGAAGGAAGGAAGGAAGGAAGGAAGGAAGGAAGAAACAAACAAACAAACAAAGATTTCCACTAAAAGTGAAACCTAGAGAGCTCAACTATCAGTAATATATATGCTTGGGACAGACATCACAAATGGACAATGAGTTGGGTCCTGAGTGAATAGGAGGAAGATAGGGAGACGGTTGATTGCCTTTGGAAATTGTAAAGCTTCT